AGCCAGTCACAATAACTACTCCCGTGACTTTGAGTTTCTAGAATTATTACCATGTACTTGAATCAGCATATATATGTGTGTATGTTTATATATATATATATTTATTTATTTATAAAAATCATAGTCTTCTCAGTAGGCAATACTAACACAAGTGGTATTCCTTTCTAACCTCAGCTGTCTAGAAATTCAGTATTTATTCCAGCCTACCTTCAGACACATCTGTAGCCTGATGGGAAATAGGCCTTTGACACCAATTTATTCTACTTTTTCCTCACTCTGACAAAGTCTAGATGCCTAGTTTTTAGGCAGCTAAGTTAGAAGTGTTGAATCCAACCAATCTGCCCATTGCAGAAAGGCAAGGCAGGGGGAGAAGGAGAGAAGGCGGTACGCACATTTCCTGGAAAGCTACCAGCATTACAACTGACCTGATTTTGGGATATCAGGATCAGCTTTTGCAGTTGCCAATGGAAACTGCAGATGCTTGGCAGATGCTGACATTGCCATTTAAAGAACATTTTTATAAAAAAAGCCACAAGCATAACACAAACACACAGCACCAATGAAACTAACCACCCTTTGAAAAACTATTTAAGTTCAGATACAAAGGCAGGGTTTGCACTTATAAAATATTCTGTGGTGTTCTGTAATCATCTTCTACAGCCAAATCACAGACAAGCACCTCCCAACTTGGTATCACCAAGGTCTCCATGCACTCTGCAAATGCTTCAACTCTTACGTGGGCAAACAGCATAAGGCCTCCTTATTTTTCTTTGCAACATGCATAACCAGGCTCCTCGCTGTGCACATCATCACTTTCTGCAGCTGCATTCCTAATGAATGTCTCCTGCCAACATGTTGCTAACTACACCGTACATTTAGCATACAAGAAAGCCAACAAGAATAGCTACAGACCACCACAGGATTAAGTGTTAAAAATCTAATCCCACAAAATGCCCCTTATTGCTTCTAGCACATCATGCATTTATACAATTCATCTAATGGATTTTCTTCTTCCACGTTAAGCCTGGATTACTGAATGCAGCATTAAATACTATGCCAGAAAACACATTTAGCAGAGGTCAGTAGTAAGTATAACACCCTGTTTTGCACATCAACAGGGTTTAAAGCATCTTGATACTGTTCCGCTTCAGAACCTGTAAAGCAGCATTAAAGCCAGCCACATTAAATTGTCAGTTATTTGACAAAGTGAAAATGAGTGTAGGATTAATGTTGCCACTCCAGATATTATGACTCAGCACCTGAGCAATTTCTTGCAGTAGAGCTGAGCACCACCTGGTAATTTAGTCTCAGCTTTAGCTTCATTACCCAGAAACACCATATCAACATTAAAAAGCACAGGGAATATCAGTAAAAGAGATGAAAGGTGTCGTTCTGAGTTAGAAGATGAGTGACCAGCTGAATTAAGTGTTGTAAATCCTGAAAACTCCCTTGTTGCTGCAGATGGCCATATTAACAGCAGCAAATACCTTATATTCTGTATTACCTAAACTGTTTCATAAGCCATTTAAACCACCAAGATCCAAACATGAAAACTGAAGTAGATCTCAAAAAGGATATTATGCCCCCCCAAAAAAGGGAAGAAAGCCACAAGTCAGTAGACAGAAGATGACTCAAGAAGTGAGGTTAACTTACAAAATCAGAAACTGGTTTGAGAGGCAGAGGAGTCCATTTTTGTACATATCCTGCATACGCTTCCTAGTTTAGTTACCTGGGGAAGGCATTACTGAGAGCTATTATTGTCAATGGATGACTACTTGAATATTAGCCTTTTGCTGCTTAGATCTGACAGAAGAAGGACAAACAGGAGTGAAGAAAACAAAATTACTACAGCCCCATTGTTAAGCTGGTTTACATCCAAGCTCCTGGGATCCCATACATTCACACTCCTCTTGCCTGCGCCATCTCTCAAGGGATCAGAGTAAATGAAATTGCTCTAAACAAATGGAGTTAGTCACATAAGCAGTTCCTGGAAACTGAACCATTTTCTTCTTTAAAAAAAAGAAAAAACCCACACAACACACTTAACGTCAGAAAGTCTTTCATATCCTAGAAGTTCAGTCTAGAGATTTTAGCCTTTATGATGGTAACTGTTTGTGACAGCCGTTACTCATTTAGAGACTGAGTTAGCCTACACAAGTCAGCTGTACTTAGGATCTTAAGCAGTTTAGCAGTTAGACAATATATTCCCTTCTTGCAGTGAGTTTTACTGCAGGGACAGACCGTGGTATTGCCCAGCTAATTACGCCATTCAGTCTGAACCACGAGATAGCCACTTTGGCTCTAGTTAAAAAGCGCTCATTGTCAGAGCTCTTGAGCTAGAGAACATCCAGCTTCAGATAGAGCAGCTGTTAGTGTTCTCATTTTGATAGCTTGCTGGGGAGCCCTTCAAAAAGCCAGGGACAGGCTCAAAGCAGAATATTAAGTTTCCCTTGGCAACAGGCCACCTGCACGCTTGGGAAGCTATTGCCCTCCCTGGCCGCAGCACTGAGCGCTGCCTCCCGGGCACAGGGACAGCAGGTGCCCATCTCCACCTGCACACAAGACAGCTGCAGCACCCATGCTTTGGTGCAGAGGTTTTTCCTAACACAGCAATATGTCCCAGGCTAGTCATGGCAAAGTGAGGGTCTGTTTCCAGATTGAGATGGAGTTGCCAACTCTTTGCTGTAAACCCCAGTCTAACAGTAAGCTATTCATATGCAGAAGGCCAAGGTCACATGGTCACAGCAGACACTGTTGCAGCAGTTTGAAAAATTACTCCAAAACCATTGATCACTGCCCCCAGAGTTCAACCAAATGGGGAGAATACAGGGGCCCTCACCTACATTAGCGTAAGGACAGCCAGGTTCACTTCCATTACTTTTATTGTCAACTTGACTTTATACAGTGCTACAAAAACACTATCATTACAGCAGCTGCAGGAGAGGTAGCATCCAGCAAAGGAATTTAAGAGTTGAACATGGTGGCATCCTGAGCCATTCTGTTCATTTTTACTCAGTTTCTGCATTTTTCTGCCATCTCATCACAGAAAAGGCAACTACCAGCAACCACGTATGACAAAAATCAAACAGAGCTACTTAGTCCTCTTATGCAGGCCAAGCTGCTAGCCCAACAGCTTTGCTAAACCTCAAGCCATCAGAGCTGAACGCTAAAGCAATTCCAGAGTCTCATATGAAAAAGCTGATGTCATACTCAGGCTTCTATGTTTTCCTAGAAATGTCCATGCTAAAGTATTATTAGTTTCTGCCTCTAATTCAGCCTGAACTCCAGGATCAGACTGGACCTTAAGGGTAGAAATACGTAATGAAACGATCAGAGTTTTTGACAAACCACAAAGATTTTTGTGATCACCGATTGCCTCAAGTGGAGCTTGGGCTCCTGGGTTAGGTGATTTCTGATTGCCCACAGGCTCGGTGTTTGAGAGAGAGCTGTGTGGCTTGAAATCAGGTTTGTGAGTTTGTGTTCTGCAGAAGTCAGGCTATAGTCTGTGCGTATGAAACGCATACACAGGAACAGCTGAATCAATTTTTATTTGCATCTATACAGACATACTGACTTCCAAATTCAGGCAGAATAGGAAGAATAACGCCCAGTGTGTGAGACTGAAGTCTCTCTATAGTGCTTAATCTTTCCCAAATACTTGGAGTAAGTTTTAGGTACAGCATCACCAAGTTTTACATCTCCTCTCAGGTCTCTGCTTTAAAGGAAAGCCTGGCACTTGAAATACAGCAAGATATTGGTACCTGACCTGGTAAAGCTCAGCAATGCTAGTGCAGCTGTTCTAAAAGAGATGTTGTGTGTACATTTCAGAAAAAATACTTCTCCAGCTCTTTCTATTTGCAAAATTGATATGGCTTTGCCAGAGCAGAGGCAGGAGTCTTAGAGATTGCTTATTCAAAGTATCATACTACATTACCGGCATCTCTGGCAGCACGTGTGGAAGCTCTCCAGTTAAGTGCGTGCGCTTGACATTCATGGTATCTGCCTCTCCACTTGCCAGGCTTCAGAGTCCAGAAGATTGTGTCATTTATTAGGAACTGCATTAGCCTGTGACATATTAAACATCCTGTTGAATCTCAGGAACATGCTTTGAGCTTTTATGATCTGGGTAAGTAAATTAGTTTCTTTACACAGACTCACCACCACAGGGATGCCTATGGAATCGTTGAACAGGAGACTGTATGATATCATTTTTCAAACTCATTCTTATACTTTTTTCTATAGTTTACTTCTCCCAAATTCAAATCACCACCAGCAAAATATAGGCAAGTTTCACAGAATTTTGTATTGGGCTGAACAGTTTTGATGAACTTGACTTTGATAGTATGCATATTCACTAAAATGCAGTAGATTGCTTTAGTCTTGAGTAAAATAGGCCATATAGTTTATATCTGCTCAGTGAAAAGATGTCCAAACTAGCTTGATACAGAACCACCCTTCCTTCAGCCTGTTTAACTATTTTTAGGCAATTCTTTAAACAAAACACCAGCCTAACCATTCACGAGTCAGTCAATGACTAATTGCCTTGATTTTCTTCATATGCAATCCAGGCTCTATGCAAGAGCAAAGCTTTCCTCAAGGGACAGCCAATCACATGTTCTGCTAAAAAACACAGGGCCAGTCTCGATGCAGTCACCTCTTTCATAAGCAGCAAGGGGAAAGAAGTATTTATAGCATAGTAAGTGTAAACCAAAGCACTGCGCTGCAGTGTTACACAACTCGGCATTTCTCATCCGGGCAGGCAGCAGTTCTTCCGACGAGACTTCTCAAGCTAGCATAGCAGATTTAGTTTAAACGAAAGGTAGATGCTGTCATTCAGTTTCTAGAAACCTAGGAACTGCAGTCTCCAACTCTGTGCTGAATGTCACACCAAGCCAACTAAGCACTGACGCAGCCATGCTGCTTATTCATCAGCCACTCGCTGCCGGCTCCAGTTCGGAGCTGGCCACAGGCTGCAAGTCCAGGCAAAGGCAGTTAACGCTTACTTGGCAGCGGTAATCAAGTCTGCTGTGCCTTCTCGCTTGCTACCCAAAGAGCTAAACACAGCCACGCTCTCCCCTAGGGAGGAGACGCAACCAGGATCACATTAGTCTAGATGTATAATACTACACTGTTACAACTGCGTTATGCCCCAGCCCTAGCACATAACCTGACTGCAAAGTCTGCCTCTATAACGTTGTATGAGCCAGGGATGTCAGATATACCTATGCAGACTGCCTTCCTGCCCAGTGCCTCCTAGTTCACTGCAGGAACTAGTACCGCTACATAAGCTTTTACTAGAGAGAAGCTTCTACTTGAGACATAAAAGTGTATTTTCTTATTATTACATAATGGTGTGCCAGTCAGTTCGATTACTATAGGCTGCTTCAAACAAAGTTTTAATTGGAGTTTAAGCTAAAATAAGTATGTTAGCTGATACATCTCCACCCTGGCTCCTCAGGTTATTGTTTCTACAGTGAGGTGAGTTTTTTTGTTTGCTTTTTTGCTAGTGAGGAGTCACATTCAAGAAGCATTCAGCATTGTGTCATTCTCTACCTCTTTTCACCCCATCATGTGCTTTAGACAATTTGGAGCTCTAAGCATGACTATCAGTGTAGCTTTATTCACAAGAGGCAATGACTCAGTTCCCAGCAAACTGCACTGCAAGGGATAAGATGAACCTCAGCTCAGATTTACTTTTTCCAAAGCCAATTTAACATTATTAAAGTGTTACAGCCTCAATGTGAGCTTTGACCTTACTATGGAAAGGGAGAGCAGCTGGCATTCGATATGCAAGTTTTTAATTTATTTCAAAACATGAACATCTACAGTCAAAACCAAAATACTACAGGGGCAGATCACTGAAGGCTGCATAGTGTCAAGCTGCCACATTTCACAGCACACAGCATACTAACCTCACAATACAGGTAAAGGCGGCAGCAGCAGCTAGCCAGAATTTGTCACAGCATCGGCTCCTGCAAATCTACACTCACCACCTTATAAAGCAAGGGAAGACTACTTCATACACAGAACGTCTCCTTTAACAAAAGGGGATCATTAGACAGTACCAATGTTGTAACTACACGGACAAGAAATTCAACTGCTCTGGCCTTTGGTGGCTCCAAAACACTACTGGTTTTTGAATTACAGCTCTGGTTGCTCTGCACTAGGCACTGTTCAGTGTGGGTGTAAGGAAACGGGTACTGAAGAACACATCACTTGCAGTCCCTAGCTTCTGCAGATCACCAAGTCACCTCCCTGCTATAAAAACCAGTCATGCTCCATTTAAAAGCTAATTACAAGAAGGTCAGACAAAAAACAAAACAAAAAACCACACACACACTATGTGCAAAAAGGTTGTTCTAGACCATCATTTAAATGGGGATGCTAGATACAGAACAAACCACCCCCCCCCCTTACTCCACAAAAAACAAAACATATCTTTTAGGCCACAAGGATACACAAGAGAAAGTACAACACTGAAGCAAGTGAAAGCTAGCATTGATACTACTACCTATGTTCCAGCAAGTTGCCATGTAAATGACTAAAATGACATTTAGATAAAGCTAGTATTCTCAATGTGCTCAAATATCTCTTGAAAGCTGAAAAAGCCAGCAAAAGTATGTAAAGCAGATGAATCAATCTGCAGTGCAGCATAGAGACTTAAGGTGTCCTTTATACTTCTGATAGAAGCAGAGCAGGTACAACAGAGCTGAGCTCTGTAGAAGCACGAACATCCCTGGAACACAAGCATGTATCCAGGTCAGCTGTGAACACCTGCATTGAATTTGAAGACAAACCTAGTAAGAGTAGCAGTTAAGAAGAACCACTTCAGCATATTGCAGGTCAAGAGGATTTCAAGGTCAAAACAGAAAGTTTTAATTGGATAGATTTAAGGTGAGAATCCAGGCAAGAGATCTGGCTGTTTGGATGGAGAAAGAGAGATCTTGTAAGAAAGAGAGGAAAGTCGTAAAACTGCACAGAATTGACCCTTAAATAGCTCTAACATTATGCAGCTTTGCCTATCAGTACTAAGAAAGGAACAGGGGAAGATTAAGACATGCTGAGAGAGGAAAAACAAAAAAAGATACACCTATTATACTTGATTTTGAAGTGGCAGATCTGACTGCATAAGAGAAACCTGAGTGACAGAGAAGAGATTGCCCAGAAGTGGCATATCAGCAAAGAGGAGGGAAGGTCTGCTGTAGCCAGAGAGTCTACTCTCAGTGAGAACTGGAGTGTGGATTCAAAAAAAGCCTCCAAACATGCTTTTTTTTTTTTTTTGGGGGGGGGGGGGGGGGAGAGAAGCAATCACAGATAAGCAAAACGTTTAAATAGCAGAGGCAGATTCACAACAATAAAGCAAGAGATCCTCTTGCTTTATCCTCTCTCTGGCAAGAGATCCTACAACTGATGTTATGGACATCTGTCAGGCATCACCTGTTCCTAAAGGGGAGAGGGGGGGAAACCTAGAAAGCTTAAAGACAGAGGGCACTCTCTACTGTGAGATACTCCTTTCTATTTGGACCTTTCTGGTATTCATCTTCTGGTGATTTTTGGAGAATTTCCTTTCAATTCCATCCTTCCCTTTTAAGGTCTTAGTTAGCATTCTTAGTCCTTAAAAGACTAGAGAAACAGATAATGGAAAAAAATAACTTTCCAGCTGGTTGTGCTGTGCATGACAGGAGCCAGAGAGCACTTCCCAGTTCGGAAGCCTCCACAGAAACAAGTCATGTTGCTTTTCTGCATAGGCTCCACATTTACATATATATAAAAATCTCCAGTTATACCTCCACATCTGGAAAAAACTAAGACCTGAGCACAGGACTTATTGGCTCACATACAAAATAAATTGAAGCTATCAGAACCCAAGAACAGTAGAGAACAGAACAGAATATTCAGATTTATTGGTATGCTAGCCACAGTCACATGCTTGTCCTCTTTTCAGTGCATAAGACTCATTTTTAAAAAAACGATTGTCTTAATTGCTTTAGGCTGATCAAAGCCTGCAACTCAGATACACACAAGTTACAACGCAGCACAAGTCATGGGAGACCTACCCCAGACATAAAGGGCAAGTGTCTGAAGCCTAAAGGAATCTGCACTGGTAAACAGAGCCTTATCTAGGCTGAGGAGAGATCCGTTGATGTTAGAAGGAAGTGACTTATACACATTCAACATTATAGACATTTTCATGCTAGCTTTTTTCCAGTTTATAGCAAGCAATACTATAAGGTTCTATTCAGCATCGCTTTGAAAGTACATCAATAGTTACTGATCACTAACTTCTTCAAATGGGTGATTTATATTCAACCATACCATCAAGAGGATGACCGATTATGTTTTATTAAAACTTAATTCATTGCTTGTAAAGAGGTGCTAAACAGATTCAGGCATCTGCATGGTATTTAAAGCAGTAGATGCTTCCTCATACAAAAACATATCCAAAGCATGACTTGGAGGAGCCTCTAGTGGTGATAAAGCAGATGTGATTATGAATCAGATATTCAAGTATAAGCTAACAATCTTGCTGGTATTCACACCAGCCTACAGATGCATTACTTCTAATCAAGTTACTGCCGATCAGCATCTGAAAGCTCCAAACACATACTTAGTACCAACCAGGATCTGTTAAATGGTGCAAGGAGTTTTATGTTGCCTTGAATCAGTAAGGAAACGAACCAACTTGCTTGTTTTGCTCTTTGGATTCTAAAGAGTACTTGGTTTTTAATCTGAATAAAGATTTTCGAAACTTTCCTAGGACATGGAACAGTGTTCATACCCGATTTATCTCCCAAGGTACATATTGATAGCTAGACCACTGTTTTTAATTAAATATCACCTGTGTACACAAAGCAAGATTGTTTTAGATTCGCACTTCAGAAATAAGTCCGTTGAACACTTTTTACGCAGACATTAAAGCAGTATGTTCCATATGTATCGACACTGTACAGTGTAATCGCTACTAGAAAAGGACTTTTCCAGAGCAGGAACTTT